GGCTCTTTAAAAGGCCACAGTAAAGAAACATATTAGCTTTGTCTAATCCATCATTTATTAAACATATATATCAAGTCTATTTTGATAGTTGAATTCTATTATAAAGTTAATCATAGATATTTCAGATATAGTAGCTTGTCTTGCTCAATGCTGACACAAATTTGTTTCCAGTATGTGGAAGAAATATGACAAAATAATATTACATTTCAGACTTTGCTGATACTAGGGTTTGGGATTGATTTAGATTTTACAAATCAAATGGAGAAACCCACATGAAGTAAAAAAGGTTCTCAATTGAGAATTTTATTTTTGGAAGGGGTTACTTGTGGCAAGAGAGTCAGAGAGCATGTTTATTGATGAGAATCCTTGAAGAAGTGCCATGTTCCTGGAAATGCCAGCTTTGGTAGCAACTTCTTGGCAATTGCAATCAACTAACAAGAGGCAGAGGTGGCATGTAGGTTGCTCTCCAGGTCTGTGGTGTGATCTAGGGAATAATTCTTGGAAATTAGGTTTGAGTGTGTCATTTTAGTACTCTAAAAGATGCTTTGAGCTATATATCTATTAATAAACCTAGTTCTGCTTAAAGTAGGTTGAAATACTTCTATTATTTGTAACTTATTATATTTTACTAGAGGCCCAGTGCATGAAATTCATGCATGGGTAGGGTCCCTAGGACTGGCCGGCAATCAGGACTAACCAGTGCTCCCACCTCCCTGCCTCCCTGCCTCCCTGCCTCCTCCTTCCCTTGCCACCTGTGCAGCAACCGCCACTGAAGTGGTTCCCCCCACCTCCCCACCTCCCCACCTCCCTGCCTCCTCCTTCCCTTGCTCCCACAGTATCCAGCCACTGCCTCTGGTCACCCGCCATGTTCTTCTCTGCCCCCTGGTGGTCAGCGCACATCATAGCAAGCTATCAAAATCCTGGTCTCCCAGTCGAACTCACAAGGGGACACTTTGCATATTAGCCTTTTAAATATATAGATGTTTAGCAATTATTACCAAAAGGTAATGCAGGCAGCAAAACACACTCCAAAGAATATTGGAATCAGGGATACTTTTCTGACATAGTTGGGATTGGAGATAGTAAAAAACTGTCATCCTTAGAGGATAACAAACTGGTAGAATGAATACTGTTGTAGAACACTTACTTATTTGATATAAGAACACCACTGTGGGGTCAAGGTAGCACTATTATAAACCACTAGTGCAGGGTTGGTTTAAAGCAGCAGCCCTATCAGGTCTCTTTTATGAAAGTTAAGGTATTGCTTGGTAAAAAGAGATACCCCAATATTGTAATTGAAACATTTTGGTGGATTCAAATAAATCTCTAAATCCCAAATTCCTAAATTCCATGAACTATTTCTGACAGCAGAGGCTGCCCCCTTACAAGTCTAGTGAAGTAGTCAATGCCCTGAAAAAGTGTAATGATATCACCTCCATTATTTGTACAGCCATGCTTTTTATGCCCCGATTCCATCATCCCTCCCCAATCCCTCTACTCTTATAACTAGCTCAGATCATAACTTTCCCAGGAGATTGTATACAATTTTAAATTCAAAAGGGAAAGCCTTATGTACCCTAAATATTTCAAATGTTTG